GCAGGGTATCCGGCCACGTGCACCCGAAGATGTTTGAGAGGCAATTTCCGCGATTTCCGAGCAGGGTGCCGCAGCCCTGGCAACGCAGGAAGCCGAGGCACAGATTGGGGGGAGAGAAAAGCTGCAGGCACAGGAAAGGTCTTCATGCACTCTGGAGTCTTCAATTGCACGTGCGGTATGCATCCGTATGACCGCAGACTCTTCGACGAGTTGCAACCCTCTTGGCCAACTTTGCATGCCCTCATGCGAACCGATGTCTTGTCGTCAGGCCAGCGAGGCCCGACAGCACGCTGCTGAACACCAACAGCGTGCCAAAGAGGCTGAGCTCCAGGATCACTTGAAGAGAGCTGCTCCGTCCTTCATACTGAGAGTCTGACGAGCTGTGAGAGATGTGGGAGTCTCAGATTATTAGGGATCCTAGCATACATTCTATAGACTATAGACTATAGACCCTATAGGGGCATCTTAGTTATGATGATCCTTAAAGTGGGTACGCTTGCTGTGAGACGTCCTTCAAAAGCCACAGGCCTGTATCGCCTTTTCGAAGATAGGACCCGTTTAGAAACCCTGTAACCTTCAGATGGCGTGCTGCATGTGCAGGAGAGCAAGCTAGCGAGGGAGCTGCGGGAGGAGGTGGAAGAAACTCGTTTGCATGGGCTGGTTTCATATCGAGAGAGTTTATATGTTGAGGGCAAAACCCATGTGTTGTGTGAAGCCCAGGCGCATCAGAAAAGCAGAGCGGCGCTGGCAGCTGAACAACAAGCTCTCCTGCAGGAGCAGCGGGCACCTGTCCAAGCAATATCTCGGTTCGCGGGTAGGGATGGGAGTTTGAAACAGCAGTGTATGCCCTCATGCGAACATGTGTCCCGTATTCAGGTCAGCGAGGCCCGCCAGCGAGCTGCTGAACATCAGCCACGCGCTGAAGAAGCTGAGCTCCAGGATCGAAGAGAACTGCTTCATTGGTTCATATTGAGAGTCGAACCAGCTGTAAGAGAGTTGGGAGATTCGTAATTGGGACATGGTAGAGTAGGATCCCTGCATAAGGACCCTGGGAATAGCCGACAACTGTAGGAGCACCCAACAGCCTACAACCCATATAGAAACCTTAGGCGCTACATAACTGAAGTCTTGATGTGAAGTGCAGCAGGCTGGGCATGAGGGCATGCGCACTGCAGACCCACCTCAAAACAGAAACCACATGACCCTCCTTTGCCCGTTGTTCTGCTTTTGCAGGAGAGCAAGTTAGAGAGGGAGCTCGAAGAAACTCGCTTGCATGGGTTGGTTTCATTTGGAGAGGCGTTGAGGGCTTTGCTGTGAAGTCCAGGAATCTCAAACCAGCAGAGCGGCGCTGGTGGCTGAATGCCAAGCTCTTCTGCAGGAGCAGCAGGCACCTTTGCAATCAATAAGCTGCGTTGGAGCTCTATGCGCACTCGTTAACTGCAGTTGACCAGCGCTGCAGCCCTGGCAATACGAGAAGCAGAGGCGCTGTGGGTGCAAGTTTGGACATAGGAGAATTTTTTTTGCAATATGGAGCGAACACGCCCCTTTTTTGCGACCCACAGGTTGGACGATGTGTACTGGCAGGATCTCGTGCCCTCATGGTTCTACATCTGATGCCAGTTGTCGCTTTCTGTTTTTTTGCCGGCAGGCAGAGCAACAGCAACGTGTCTGTGACATGTTGCAGTCAGAAGTGGCGCCTCGTCTGCAGGAGCAGCACGTAAGAACAGAATTTGTGTTGGGTTAAGGGTTTACCCATGCGCTCCATGGTAGTTCCTTTTTGTGTTTCATATTTAGGATCCTAGAAGGTAATCCCAAAAGGAATCACAACGGAGCCTATGGGTGGGCCCTAAGCTGAGTGCGATGGGAACCTGGCCGGACGAGCTCTGTGTAAAAAGGCCCCCCCAATGTCGGGTTTAGGCTTTCGTGTCGGGTCTTGAACCTAAAGAGAGCTACACCGCTTAGAAGGGCGCACTTTGGTAGCCCCGGTATCGAAGTGGCCTTATCTGAAATACCCAATTAGTATATACATTGGCCTTCATGGCGTCCCTGTATAGGTACTTTAGGGCCAATGTATATACTATATTTGGGTGGCCTTATCTGAATCAGGCGAAGATGGAGCAGTTGTCGTCTGCACCTTCGAGTCAAGTCAGATCCGAACAGATCGAGGCAGAGGCCTTCCAGCAACGTTCGGATGCTGGACATACATGTGTATCTACATACATCTAGAGGTATGTATGTATGTGTGTATGTATATGTATGTATATATATATATATTATGTATATACATTATATAAATAAATAAATAAATATATATATATATGTATCATACATATATATATATATATATGTTGTATTACATGTGCCTTCAAAGCCATAAACGCATGACTTCTTGTGCAGGATATTATTGGGCAGGCGGTGCCGGGTGCTCCTCAGCGTGCGGCATCAGGCCACTTTGTCCACTCGACTAGGGAGTTTCGCAGTCGCATTTGTGTAATACTGTACTCCAGGCACCGATATGCAAGACGACCGGATGCAGGATGTGCTAAAAACTCTGTCGCAGATGACCCGCAAACTGGCCCAGCAGCTTGGCGAGGAGTTTGTCGGCAGTACTGCAGTTTTTTTTTTGCGTGGTCAGAGCTTTAATGGTCTAGACAGCAGCTTACCCATTCCTGCCAAGGAGGCTGCACTTGGCCGAGCAGGAACTGAAGGATGAGATGCGGAGCGCCTTGAAAGCTCAAAGGGAGGTCCAGGACCACGTCTTGCGGCTCATTATAGCAACCTGCTCGGCTCGAGAACTCAAGACTCCGTCTCAGAATATGTGTATGGATATACCTGTGATTGCGCGACAGACATGGCACTAAATCACAGCATTGTGAAGGCAAACTCCCGCCTGAAGTTCCCTGCTTGACCGGTAGATTTGGATTCTGCTGGGACACAGGACCAGCGCATGCAGCAAACAGCTGCTTTGGCTGACAAGGAAGCTGAAATGCAGAAGAGACTGAACCTCGACCGTAAAATCTTGTGACGATCGTTTTGTTTTCCGCTTGGAAACATACCTGGAGTTGTCATCTTACACCTTGATTTGTTGTATCTAAGGGCGCAGCTGGAGCGCGGGAGGATGGAGTCGTCCCGAAAGTCTCACTCTCTGCAGGCCCGGTTGACTCGATGGATGCTACCATCCGCCAACAAACTCCTGCAGCACTTGAGTTTGCCGTACGAAATGCGACACACTAGGACAGCGCTCATGCTGAAATCAGCGAATTTCCACAGGACCCAGCTCCAGAAAATGAGAAGCCTCGACAACAAAAGCCCTGAAACGAAGGTTTCGAAAACCTCTGTATAGAACCGCTGTTAGGACTTAAACTGCATGTAAAGAACACTTGTAGAAGCCCTTCGCAGAAGGTGGAGGCCGAGCATTCAGTGGTGGCTGCAGCCGTGGGTCAGGCAGAAGCACAGCCACTTGTAAGAAGTTGAGGTCTGCCGTAAGATATACATATACATATATATATATATATTTATATATATATATATTTATATTTATATTTATATTTATATTTATATTTATGTTTATTTATTTACTGCATGCATGCATGCATGCATGTATGTATGTATCTATGTATCTATGTATCTGTAGTATGTATATATCTATGTATGTATCAGTACATGTACGTGTGTGTGTGTGTGTGTTTATATGTAAACATTAGACATAAATCTCTCTTTGGAGGCCATTTTGGAAGATCTTAGACTTATATTGAAATTCAGGAGGTGATCCTATCGTTCGAGGTTTGACTAAGCGTCCGGTGTTTGCTCGAACCCAGTATAGCCCCTTTATAGAAGCCCTTCCATAGGACCGATACGCTTGTTGTTTGGTAGTTGTGCACCATAATTAATTGTACTCCGGGGCTCTTAGCTTGGCACAAGCAAAATCTCATATAAGTCGTACCTCTCTCCCTTGACATTCTTGGCTGTTACTTGGCTGCGATGTCAAGGCGTTACGTATGTGCCCAGCCCTTGCGCACCCAAGGTTTGAGGAAAGCATGCAACAACTGCGGACCGCTGGCTTCTCAGACCATGGCTTGAAGCAGTTGCGATACATGCGTCCGCATCGTATCGTCGAAGATGCGATAGACTTCTTCTGCTAGACAGAAATGCACGCAGTGATTCCGTGCTCAGGAAGTGTCACTGGAGAAGAGCCAACATGTTGCCACCTCAGTCGACAAGGGGTCCTTTGCGGGTTCTATAAGGGTTCTACTACAGGTGTACGACAAAACACAAGTCTGAATAGTTGGGCCTCGATGTGCTTACCTGCTGTGATTGCAGAACTTCAACATTGTCACAGTAATAAGTAGTTAGCACTAGAAACAAGACCTCGCCTGACTTGGTCGAGTGCGAGTGCTAAAGAAGAGAAACGAGAACACAGCAACGCGAACAGCCACAAGACTCCTGTCGTATTTTCATGAAATTCATACATCACACCATATCTTTGAGTACGTGACATTGCCCAAAAATCGCAATGAACCATGATCGCAGTAAGTAGGCGTCTTGGGTAGCTTGAGCACCTGCCTCGCTTCGAGACCATATTCGACCCTTCACAGAACCAATGGTATTTATATACTATATTCTAATAATCTACTATCATAGAGTATAGTTACTATAATATGCCATAACATCCTATAACATACTATAATATACTATAAGCCTTCCGGGTACTGGGTGCAAACAAATGTTTAGGGTGACCAATAATCAGATAGAAAGCTCAGGCTGCCAATGTTTCACGACTGAAGCAGCAACTCATAGAAGCAGGCCTGGCTTCATGGCTTGTCGCCCCACTTGGGAGTTTCCGAAAATAGGGGGTACCCTAATTTTGGGGTCCTTAGAATAAATAAGGATCCTACCATTTATAGGGTACTATATTAGGGTCCCCTATTTTCGGAAACCCCCATTTCTGCACCACATGCTGTGCATATGACGAGCATCGCTTTAAGGAGCGTCAGGGCGTCTGCGTTGAGAATCGCTAGGTTTGTTTGACGTCACTGGCAAAAAGCAAAGGGTAAGTCGGAGGCCTCAGAAAGGTGGGATGAAGGTGGGTAGGATTAAGGATCCCTTTTTTGGGATTAGCCCAGCTACCTTCATCTCACCTTTGGAGCCCCTTGAGTGAGTTGTGATCGCCACGCAGGTATCGAGGCCCAAATCAGAGAGGAGGACGTTGCTCGGAGCCTCGTGTGCATGATAGCTGTTCAGGCGTTGAATGCTTGTGAAGGTGGGAAATGGTTAAGGTTAATACTTGCCAGACTGGGTCCCAGGATCGGATTCAGCTGAAATCACAGTCGATGTTCTTACTGATTCCAGGTCGTTCCCATTCGTGCTACGGCCATCAGCAGTGCAGAGTACAGGGGCTTGACGCCGATGTCAAGCTCGCTTCCTGCTTGGCACATGAATGCAGATGTGTACCAGCTGAGCTCATAGCTCGGACTTCTCATCGAGCCGCCAAGCCCAAGTCAGGTTTAAGCTCAGATGTGCCAGCTGACGGCCTTCGAGTCGGCATTCACAGCTTCCATATCTAGCCTAGACCGGTCAGTGTATCTTGCATACCCGACATGACAAGCTGGGCTGATGAGGCAGAGGCGCTTGAGATGTGAAGCAGAGAAACAAAGCACATCCAAACGGAAAGACGAGTGTGGCAGAAACTTCCCCGGCGGCACGCCTCCACTCCAATCTCCGTTGGCAAATGCAAAGACCTGGCAAAGACTTCCAAGTTGCCACGACTCGAGATCGAGGGTCACTTGCAGCAACTCAAGCAGAGACATGCGGAAACTCGTAATAACGAGCTTTTGATGTCATGGGCGAGCAAGCTCATCGTGTCTAGCAGAGGTTACACCCTTCACAAAGCCTTGTAGCGGCGAGGCCCGCGCTGAGTTGGATCTTCCAAAACAGTGAGTCGTGAACTGAGGATGGTCCACTTCGAGCTTCAACATTCGCGCCAAGAATGTGACAGCATCTTTGCTTAACACCAGGAGATGGTTCTCGTCCCAAGCATTGTCTTCTCCTAGATGCAACTTGCTTAGTGAGGGAAATCCTACATCTCAAAATCCTAAACCGACACCAACGGCTGACGGCGAGTGGGTGCAGTGGGTGCCCCTTGCGAAGGCTTACGCAGAGACGCATCGGCAACCATGACGGCCGAGCTGGTGGCGATAAAGGAAGAGGCCCCGCTTAGTACTAGTTAATGAAAGTAATATGAATGAAAAGCAGGAAACATAAGGCAGCAATCACAACAGCGCGCAGAACCATAGCAACAGCAATAGCAACGATGATCTTGTAATCATAATATTACGAGGCCGGCTTGTCCACTGAACACGTGGGCAAAAGTACATGCTCATCATAATGCAACAGGGGACGGAAAGGGATCCCCATCAACAAAGAGCCTGCCCGCGCAGAAGTATCTTCATCGCCAGCTGCTGTTCCCTGTCGTGGGGCTGTGGATCAGATGGCACCGAACCCTACGTAGTTATATATGCCAGGCACAGGGATGACCTGATGTTTCCGGTTGTGTATGACACTCCTGAATTTGTCATGAACCATTGAACCTTCCAGCTAAACATAGGTTGCGCTACAGTGCACGCTTTGACTTTGGCTGCTAAATGTTGCGGCACGATGACGAGGCAGCGGCTGTGGCACGTTCACATGCTCAGCTTCTGAGTGCGAAGAATGAACTGCAGGCAGGGGGATTCGAGTGTGATAGGCAGCTTCAGAGTTTGCAGCATCTCCACCCTATCTTCTCTTGAGGATGAACTCTTGGTGCTCCAGCAGCAATCAGTCGTGGATCTCGCAGCAACGCAGAGGCCCGCACTGCTGGATCCTCGCGGCTTTCCCAGATGCACATTCAAGGGCCCCTACCAAAAGCATCAACAAGCTTTCATCTTCAACATCTCAGCCTGTCATATTCCTGGATATTTTGTAGATAAGCCGGATGAAGCCTGAACCCCCTCCCCCCCCCCCCAGACAGTACAAAGTGAGTGCCCTCGCCCAGCACATGCAAGACTTGGGAACTTGACCTGTTCCGCGACTGCGGGAATGACTGCCACGATCTGGTTGCTTAGCAGTCATGTGGGTCATCTACCACATGTGCCCACACTGTGTCATGCTCCTCACAGCATGCTATCTTTTGTGATAGAACAGCAGGACTACACTAGACAGTCGCTCAGTGCTGCTAAGTTCATATCAACGGCAGAGTACTGTTGCAGTATAAATCCTGCAAATCCTGCATTACCTTAAGGACCTTATGGGAATTATGGTATATTCCTGATTATGCGTAATCCAGGATATTTATATCATCAACCGTCTGTCAAGTTTTCTGCCAGGTCGGAGCGTGCTGCAGCAGCTTTAAGAAGGCTCGTAGCCGACATCCGGCGTGCTGAAGAGGGCGTGCCTTGCCCAGCAGATACCGTCGGGGGAACGCTGATTCTTCTGCTAGCCAACCGGGGGCTGCCGGTAATCCAAGTAGCAGGAACCATGCCAGTAACCCATGGTATCGGCTAGCGGTGGACATGCCAATACTTCCAGGAACCGGTTCCTATCTCAGTCTTGTCATGATGAGTTTTTGAGCTGCTGCGGGTGGATCGCACATGGATTTAAGATGATTTCGGGTTGTCTTATTTCGGAAGCGCATCTGAAATCTGTCGAAATTGGTTCGTGTCGCAATGCATTGAGCAGAGATTGTATGTCCCAAAGAGGCATGCGCTGGTCCGTTAGTCTCGAGCTCACCAGGTGTAGGACTTTCTGATCGGCTTTGGCATTGAAACCTTATGGCGAACATTCTGCCGCGATCCATCGGTGAGCTTGAAACGTTGCGCACATCATAGTACTGGAGGCACTGATAACGAGACTAGTGCTCACGGCAGTGGTGAAGCATTGATATCGTTAGCATATATCGACGAGTGGACTCGCAGGTGTGCCCGGAGTTTGCCTTGCCAGGTGCTGTCCTCACCACTGGTTTCCGGCTGGGACAGGAGTGTTACTAACGAAAGCTACCTGTGCCCGACAACCTCCGTTTCGCACTTCTGTCGTGGGGTTCCGCAGATACAGACAATGATGCCACTCATTACTTGTTGCACTCAGCCACATGCCTCGAGTGGGCCGGCTGGGCGTCAAGCCAGACCTTCTCGCTGCGTCCCGCTGTCAGTGGTAGTGGCGTTGTGACTTTGGCATGGCACACCGAAGAAGCTTGACAGGCGTCTCAGACTTCTCCATAATAGAGCCCGGCGGTCGTGGACGCAGAGGATTGCAGCGGTGCTCAGACTTCTCCATAATAGAGCCCGGCGGTCGTGGACGCAGAGGATTGCAGCGGTACTTCAATGTACTGCATGAGTCCCCGGCTACCAAACCAGCTGTCAAGCACTGACGAGCAGGAGAGAATGCTCACCGGGGTCACAAAGACGTCCAGAGTCTAGTGCGAACAACACGGAAACGACTTCGCTGTCGGAATGGGTGTGAGCTTGCATGTTATTTATTCATTTTTTTAATTTTTCTTACTTTATGCACAAGCACAGCATGCATGTGCACACGTCGACGCAAAGGCAGCAGCCAGGGAAGCGGCTGCCATTGAAGAGCTGACTGCGACGAGGGGGAGGTCAGGAGCTATGCCAAGGTGGGCTGTGAAATGTAGGCCTGTTTCTTGAGCAGGTTCGAAATTCAGACCACGGAGCTGGAGGCAGCCAAATCAGACGAGACACTCGGCTTTTCCGAAATTTCTGTGATTCCAAGATGTCCTCGGTGTGCATCCAACATCAAGGCTGCGCAGCGAGGAGCTTCTCCATGCCGCACACGAGGCCACGCGCGGTGCCTTGCCCAACCCTGTATCGCTCAGCGCATTTTCTCTCCAATCGGAAGGTCCAGTGTATGCTGCACAACGAGTGTGGAGCCTTGACGGCGCATGTGGAGCGGGCTGCTACGGCTGAGCCTGGATCCCACTGCAAGCCTAACATGTTGCAAGCATTGCTCGGTGCGGCGCATTCAACGCTTGAGGTCGGTGGCTCAGGCCAGAGCTGCCGAGCTTGACGAGCAGCGCCAAGTCCTGCGACAGGATCGGGAGTGTAAATGCCGTGCGACATGCTGCAAAATGCCAATTTCGGATAGTTCATCGGGAGAGATCGATGAATTTGACAGGAGTGCCAACGCCTCCGCAGTGACAATGTACTTCTTCGGCGGCAGCTGCATTGCGCATCACCCGCGCTCCAAGATATCAAGATTCTTGCCCTTGAGCACTAACTCAAAACCGCTGCAAAATCTCAAATCTTCCGAGGTCCAGCTACCACACCTGGAGGATGCTAAGTGAAGCCGTCTATGCATCTGAGGATCGTTGCGGCTGCACGAGGTCGCCCTTGAGGTCGCTGACATGAATTGCCAACATCAATAAGCATCAGCAACTAGTCGAGGCGAGGGAAGCCTTGAGGCGGCAGAGGACTTCGTGCCGCTCCTCTGGTAACCTGGCGAGGGATGGCTCCCATCATCCTGTGCAGAAATCGCTGGCGAAGGCAACAGGTGCAAGTTTCTAGTGAAGGACTTGCGGACTGCATTCTGCTGGACGGTGGACGTGGGCACCACCTTGACACATGATCGGCAATGCTGGGAAGAGCCGATCATCCTCGCATGGTGTACGTGACGGTATGGGAACCAGCATCCGGCACATCTGCATGCAGCTACAGCGCCTACAGCCACGTCTTCAAGCGAATCCAAGTTGACCAAGCGAGTTCGAGCCGCGGCGTTGCCCATGCCTTCCTGGCTCGCCACCTCGACTGTGCCTCTCGAACACGAACACCCGTCTCTGCTAATGAAGAAAATGGAAACGGGTCAAGCCAAAAATGCCCTTAGAATATTTGCCTTCAGATTCTGCACAATGCATACGTCCGCCATGAGGTCGAGCACGCGGCACTTTGGCAGAGCCCGGACTCAATCTCCAGCAGGCGCAAGCTCTTCTCAAGGGAGCGCTTGCTTAGTTTCGGAAATCATACCTCAAACTAGCATAACCCTGCCTTTTTTGTGGGGTCTTAATACAAACCCTACTCCAGAAGTATACCGACCCCACAAAGAAGTAGGCTTTGATAGCTCGAGATAAAGATGCTCCTACTTGCAGGCAGAAGAGCAGAGGGCCAGCGGCAATCTGCAGCAGGCATATGCCATGTACAGGACGGGGCGCCGAAGGCACTGATCGAGCTTTTGCTCAATGCAAGTGCCACGGCAGGAAGATTCTAGATGCCGACGGGAGCAATGTCCATGCATGCTGCTCAGACCGGGAACATGCACCATCTAGCATTCATCTATACCCTCTATTCTAAACCCTAAACCGATTCTGAAGGCGCTGAGGGGAGTGGTGCGGTGCCTGCTCGAGACTGGCCATGGTCGAACAGCCCAGGAGGCTTGGAGAGCCGATCGATCCATCAAGGCTTTGAGAGTCCGTGAAGTTTCCAGAGCCGCTGCCATGTCTTCCTTCACTATTTAAATATTCTTTTATTGTTAGTAGCCGTCACTTTTCTTATTATTGGTATCGTAATGTTGCTTTGGTGTGGTGTCCATTTTTGAGAGAACGCCCCTAGCTTACACGCACACGCATATGACGTATCTTCAAAGCTGATGCACATGGTAGAACGTGCACGTGAGCATGTGGACATGGCAGCCCTAAACATAACTTGGAGCATGTCTACTGTCATCAAACACGGAAGCCAACTACCAACAATGCTTTGCAAAGTTATCGTGGGTATATGTGAGCGAGACATGATTTTGGCAGGCAGCAAGGCGACTTCAGGCGCAGACGGTCCTTGCCGATGATGCTGAGAGCTCCTTGTGATTTGCGACTCTGCAGGCGGCAGAACCCTCTGATGCCGAGGCGGGTTGCACAACTCCAGGGCCCCGTTCGGCAGTTTGTGTATCGTGGGTGCAGGCCAATCTCCTCCTGGCTGAGGCTTTGCTCTGCGCAGGCTGCCGAGTAAGTAGAATCCTCGCAGGAAGGAGGTTGGAAACTTTTTGGAAGGCGGATCGCTCAGATATGTTTGTGGGAGTTCCTGTACAGCGCCTTCCCACCTGCTCCTCGTTGCACTTCACGGGCTCATGTGCTTGCGTGCGCATCGCATGGGCGGGGTGGCCCCTACGAGTAGCCCGCAGCCCTCAGTCATCCCGAAACCCTATAAACCCCTAAGCCCTATAAGCCCTAAACCCTAAGTCATTTCTGTTCTAGCTAGGTAGGAGGCAAAAACAAAGTCATTTCTGTTGGAGGCCAGGCGCCAGCAGCGGAGCGGCCTCTTGCCGTTGCTTCGGCGCGACCCGTGGCATCCTTGTCGGTGCCTCGGGAAACTGCCCAGCGCACGCCAAAGCGCGTTTACCGTTACGATGGTTTTTGTAGTGATATATGTATATATAAACACATTAAACACATTATGTTATATGCAACTATATATGAAATTTGGAATCAAAGTCTATGGTAGCAAAGATTATCAGATTCTAGCGGCAGCGATGGCAAGTCCGATCTAAGGCGAAGTCGCATTTTGCAGGCGCAGGCCAAGGTGCATTGCATTGGTTGGTCAGCGCTTCCACAAACTCGGCAATACTGTAGCTTGCTTCATGAGGTGGCCCTGTTTGCGGAGGATTTCAAGAAGGTGGGCCTTCGCAAGACTAGACTGATCTTCTAGGCCCTAGGATAGCAGACCGTGCCCGTACGCACGACTGAGCTACCCGGTTTATCAGCCCAAAGGCGTGACGTGCGAATGCCGGTAGCAGCTGCGAACACGTTTCCACTGCGCAAGGCGATGAGCATGGCTTCAGAGGCCGTGCGAATGGAAGCAGGTGAAGCTGGCGATGTGAAGGCAGCACCGAACACTTCAACTGCATCGAATATGCTCACATCTACTTTTTACTGTTATTTTTGCATGCGGATATGGGGGTTTCCAAAACAGGGGACCCTAATATAGCACCTAAATAGCAGGATCCTTACTATAAGGACCCCAAAAACAAGGTACCCTAATTTTCGGAAAGTCCCATATCTTTGCGTGCGAGACGTGGAGTCACCGAAGCTGACCTATAAACCCTAAAACCCTAAAGCCCTAAACCCCCAAACCCCTAAACCCTAAATGACTCTGAGAAGCCCAGGCTCTCCTGGCGCTGGCTGAGGTGCGGATTCAGTTCGCAGACTACGAAGCTCGGCTGCAAGCACTGCCACCGGCAATGCTCCGTGATTCCCTTGCCGTAGATCGACGTTGCGTCGCTTTTGCCAACCCCGAAGCCTAAGCCAATATTCAAACCCAAAAGTAGCCGACATGAACTGTACGACTCTACGACTACGTTGCCTTTCCTGGCTTGTCCCAGTCAGTATGGGGGTGGGGGTGTGGAGGTGGGTGGGGGGGTGTGTGTGGGCGGTCCCATAAACGTCCTCAACCCCTTAACCCGTCAAGCCTCAGCAGTTCGGGGATCAAGGAATGGATCAGAAATGATCAGAATTAGGGCGTGCATGGTTTAGAGCCGAAGCAGGGGAAACCCTAAAGCAGATGTCACCCTCTTGTGCTCCTAAAAAGAGATAAGAAGTAGAAGCCTCGCAAAACGGTCGAGGAAGCGGCGCTGCGGGCCCTTGGCTCGGCAGAACAGGCGCTTCGAAATGCAGGGGACCCTGGATTGCCTGCGACTCTTGGGATTGGAGGTTTACCCATAGGCCCCTAAGTAGTTCCTTTTTGGGATTACCTTCTAGGATTCTAAATATGAACCACAAGAAGGAACTACTTCGGGGCCTATGGGTGGAGAAATTGCGTGGGCTGTACAACCCCCCTCTTTCGGCTTACAAGTACTGTATCATCAAGGTTTATGATCTTTTTGACTGTCCTCCATTCGGGGAGTATAGTGTCAGAGAATGCCAGGCGCATTTCGACACGCCTCTACAGAATCCTTGTAGAACTGTGTCCTGTGGGCTCAACAGTTTTCACGCAGTTTTGTTTCCCCAACTGTTGGCTCATGCCACAAAGATGCATGAACATGGATCCGACTGACGAACCGATCGCGGAAGAAGGGTGGGCTGCCAAAGTACACTCCTTATCGTCATATGGCTTGTACGCAGCAGCCCATCACCCCAAGGAGCCGCAGAGTCGGGTGTGAAAGAGCAGCCAAAAAGAAATGAGCATTCAGCAAACCCTCACGCGCCTGAAATCCGAAGACCGTGTCTTTCAGCTCTTTCCGCTCGCAGCAGACGACGAGGAGAAGAGCTGGGTTCAGAAATTGGTTCGTTCCCGGCAGTTTAAGTGCTTGGTCGTCGGGGTGATCGTCGTGAACGTGGCTTTGATTTGTGTGGTGGAAAGTGCATGGGAGTGGGACCAAGCTGCTGGTGTGACCTACATGATCGAGGCGGATTGCCCTCGTGTCCTAATTACCTGGCAGAGTGGATCATTCGAGCATTCGGCCGAGAGCTCAAAACTGATCCGTGGAGGATGCCGCTGGGCTTTTTTCCGATATTGGTTGGTGCCGTTGCGCTGATACCCAATCCATCCTGTGACTCTGACAGCTCATACAACGCGTTTCAGCGATGTTTGCCGATGGTGCGCCCGCTTCGTCTGTTGAAGCTAGTGCGAGCCCTTGTCGCTGGCTTGGTGAACACCGGGCGCAAGAACGACGCAGACTAGCAGGCGGATCCCGTCCTGGGCAAATTGGTGCGAGATAAATTTGACACGTTCCCCATGGCGATGCTTTCACCAGTCCAGTTCCCTTCTGGCGACAGCTGTACTTTGCGCTTGTGTCGGCCAAGCCCGAGCAGGGATTCTTCCCCATCTTGATCATGATCAGACTTGGGCTTGCGAGCTTAATGCCGGCAATACTGTTTGCGAACAGTGGTCGCCAAAAAGAGCGAAAGCAGCTCCAGGGGGCCGAAGATTTCAGGAAACTCGTCGCGAGAAGCTTGAGGAGGCGTTTATGTGGAGTCATGTGGAGACGTCGACCGCGGCAGGATCGAAAGAGCCAGCAGTCAGCACAAAGGTTTCAGAACCTTCAACTTTCCAGATCTCTTTGATCTCTTGGCCAGGAAGCTGTGTCTATATGACAAGGACCCAACGCTGAGTGTGGAGGAGTTCGTAAGCGCCGTGATGGACATCTACGTGTGCAACCGTGCCCCCTGTTGAGATGAAGGCGCAATTGCGCCGACTCACCAGGTGGGTCACCGGAGAGGTGGGCTGAGAGGAGGCCAGTTTGGGGAGAAAGCAAGACCAGCTCCCGCGATCAGAGCTCGATATCCAGAATCTCCAGAAAGCTCGACCTCCTCTTGCGTCAGTTGCGTGTAGATGATGTGGCAATGTCGTTTTGAACTTTCATCCGATTTTGCGATTCATGTGCCATGTGCCCCAATATGCGCAGATGGAACTTACAGCCTGTATAGGCTTTGGCAAGTTGATGCTCGCAGCAATCGGTCGTGGCCCAAAAATCGTCGGAGATACTCCCGCCCGCAATTCTGAGTAAACAGTCAGTAGGACTGCTTGCGGAGCAGGGAACTGCCTAGAACGACAAGTTGCCGATCCCCAGTCCCACAAGCGCACACAGCAGTTGGTGAGCTTCAGCGGAGTTGGATAACAGCGGCAGTGGCGCTAGTATCCACAAAGTGAGGCACCACATTCTCCCAAAGTGGCTAGACTGCTAGACTTGTTGAAAGAAGGGTCGCAAAAAAGCTTCTGCGAGCCAACAGGTCCTCAAAGAAACCTTGAACCGAGCCTTAAGACACAGAACTTCATCCTCGCCTTCCGACGAAAGGAGAGCCGAAAGCCGGTCGCCCGGACACTGCTGGCCAGGGGCCCCTGACGACAAGGGCGGGTAGGTTGTAGTGTTTGTTTATAGGATTTATACGGTTGACGATTGTTGACGGTATCGGACTTGGGTCGGCATCTCAAGAGTATCTCAAGTGAATTGCGAGCACTCTTGTTCAGAGAGGAGAAGGGAGAGGGAGCAGATCCAGGCCTCGTGTTTGCGGATGATCTCCCTGACATTACTAAAGATACAGCGTCCGATGCCGTTGCCGTCTGGCGGGTGGACCCACATGAATCTTTAGCAGTTTCGGGCGGATGGTTCACTTCACGCAGACACTTGAACTTGAAGTCAGGCTGAAGCTAGTGCTAGCATGCGGCGTGTGCGCTTCGAGTTGGGCGAGCCCGCTGATAGAGAATAATCGGAGACCAAGAGAGAGGAGACAAATGTTCATTTCATAAAAGTGAGGCCCAGCCGCCCCCCCCCCCCACCCCCAAGGATGTGAGCCCCTTCTTCCGTAATAAGAGTCGGGGTCCAGCCCTAAGCCAGAAGAGTCGGGATCCAGACAGAGGTCCCTACAGCCGTCAAAAAGCCCCCGAATGCCCCATTAGTGTTTTGGAGGCCACCACTCACTTCAGAAGCTGCTTGGGAGCCTTTTGGCGGCCCCCAAAGCTTCCAGAAGCTCCAGAATCCGGAGATGTCACCACCCTGCTTAGAGCCCCGGAGAACCCCCAGGAGCCGAAGTGCCTTGTCAGCTCTTTTGGGCTTTCTTCGTTTTAAAGATATAAGCAAGATTCTGGTTACACTTTTCCCGCTCCGGCCGCTTGGATTCTGCAAACACGAGGGGGGGGGTTCTAATTGTGTTCTGGGAAATTGGATTTTGCGATTACGCGAGGGATTCTGTATATGAGGTTGACATTAATTGCCTCTCTTGTTGTTCTGGACAAGTTTTTTTGTCGCGCATTTTTGGGTTTGCATTTTTTCGTTGTCTTAGACTGCTTCACAGGTGCTTAGAATAGGGAGCGGGACATGGCATGCATACTATGCAGCACAGTTTGATAGTATAGCATATTGTACATGTTGTTCTATGCATCTCCATATGATTCTACAGTATTCTATGTTCTTCTACATTATTCTATTGTTTTTTTCGAAATCATCCTATATTACACATGTGTTACCCCTAAAGTCCCGCACCGCTGACTTGACCCCAAGGGGACGGATTGGTGGACCCTCTTCCCGTAACTTCCTGGATGGTTGAAGTGCTTCGTATGGCAGCCCTGCTTACATGGGGCTTGGCCAGTCCTAGAGAGTACTGATACGTAGGTAGCTGTTCTGGCCCATGCCTAGTTGTGGTTCATACCCCGAACCCTTTGCAGGTCTCTTGCACCGTTGACTTATGGGGTAACGTCCGAAAGATGCCTTAGTGGAGAGCCCAAAACTGTTTCAGGCCCAGACTTGCGGACTGGCAGCGCGAGCTCAGGAAAGGTCGCGAACCCAGACACAGACTGCAGAGGCCGAGAGATCTGACACGGCACAGTGTCGACAGTCGGGCTGGTAGAGGCATGTTGCATTCCGAAGCGATCTGGATCGAGCTTGGCTGTGTTCGTGCCGACTTCTGAAACCATCTGTGGCACCGTGCTTCGAACGGTTGAAGCTACATAGGGCAAAATCTGCAGAATGTTGGACATCGGCTGACCGACGCCACACCAAGTCATTGAGATGAAAGTGTTCCAAGCTCGGGGGAGTTTCAACACAGTGCGTTCTCTCCGTTCTTTGCCTCTGCCCTGCGCTTGCGCAGACCGCTGCGAAGGCAGGCCGTTGCTTTCACGATGCGGGAGCAGTCATTCCCTACCGCTCCGGTGAGGCAGTATGGGGTTTACCCTGCCAGTGCACGTCTCCTGCGTGAGCAGCTCCATCGGGATCAAGGCACCGGATGCTTCAAGATGTGCCTGATGATAAATGCCCACCACGGGCCAGCTGAAGACATGACATGAAGTTAATTTTTTGGTCCCAAACCCTAAACCCCGACGTGCTTTCCGAACCTCAAATTCTGTATCACGCCGACCTGCACCTATGGAACCTCGCCTGGCCTCTCTGAGTTCAACCCTGACATGCTGCGTGGCTCCCCTGACCCCTGCATGATGTCTAATGTAGGGCCTAAACATGAAACAATTACCAATATGTCACACAATACTTTTTTTTTTTGGGGGGGGGGTTCCTCAGCTTCCTCGTCGATTTCCATGTTTGGGTGCCTGGGAGCTACGAGGGACTAGTAGAAGCGTGGTATGCTGTCTTGTTCTTCGGGGTATACGGGGTTCCATACATCTACCCTCTGGATACGCTGTCTTGGGTGTCACGCCACTTCATGCCCAGTCCAGACGCTAACCCTGGCCTGTCCCGAAGCACCGGCCTTTGCAGGAGACTCTTGGAACTGCTGGACAGGAGCTCAGAGTCGCAAGACACTGCACCCGCCTTGTGGAGGTGTCTGTGTACCGTAGCACAGTACTTGGAGGATCGAAGGACAACAAGTTGTATATATGGTAGCAGGGGCTAGTAACGTAAGGATGACTCCTGTGGGTACCTGTAACCCGAGATGACCCACCTGCCAAAGTTGATTGATCTTTTCAGTTTACCGATCTCGTAGGTCTCAGAACCTTTATAGACCGCCAAAGTTAAGCTACTTAGCAAGTCCCCTGAGCCCGAAACCCTCTGAATTTTTGGAAAAAAATATAGTGCCTCGATAAAATTGTTAACATCCTTGAACACTGAAACAAAACAACCTTTACAACACCACCATGAAGCCCCTTACAACACCTAAAGAGAAACCCTTACGAAACACGCAGCCCCCCACCAAAACCCCTCCTATGCAAAAGCCCATCTAAGTAATAAGCTTACCTTCGTAACCCCTTCAGAACCCTCTAGCAGGAAGCCTTAAATTAAATGAGCCCTGCTCCACATGAGTGTTCTCTAAATTAGGGTCCTTAAAAGTCTACAAAACAGTACGACACCCTTGCAAAAAGGACCCTAAAAGGGACCTACTTCAGAGGACTACCCATATAGAACCCTGACAAACCCATATAGTACCTGTATAGAAACCCTACAGAAGCCCGTATAGATCTCTTTAAGGAAACCTAAACCCTCAGCCCGAAATCCCTGCATCCGAGGCATTGAATTGTAGATCCCTGTTTTTTGTGTCTACAAGGGATCTTAAATTAGAGGCGCCCAGAATCCCTTGAAGGAAACCCGAAAAAATACCCGAAATCCCTGTAAGGAACACTAGGAGGCCCGCAGAAGTAGCCCTCCGAGGGGCGCCGGCCCTGTCCCTCGGCCTCTCCTTGGACATCCCGATCCAGGCAGGGCCTTTTGTCCCGGAGACGGCAGATGCGCGGGTTTAGGGCTCCTTGCAGGGCCCGCTTTTAAGGGGGTTACTGTAGAGTTACATGTAGTTACTATAGGGTTCTATCTTAAAGTTCAGGGTGGTTTTAGGGGGACTTTGGCGGCTTTGGGCTTTGGGAGTGGAGTTTTGGGTGTTTTTAGACGCAGGAGTCCGTGCAGTGGTACTCGTCGCAGTGTCGCGATGGCAGGAGCTACTTGCGGCGATGCTGGAGTATCAGCCGGAGCCTGGGAAGGGCTCGCTTCATTTTGATATCCAATACACGATATGATGTTGCGTTACATGACACTGTCGTATCTTTGTCTAATCCTATCTTGTATCATAATACATGATTTCAACATGCATCAGGGCGTTGAACTTGCAACTTCCTCCAGAAGTCGAAGCTGAGGCAGCGAAGCCCGCCTCGTGCTGACGAGCTTCCAGACACGCTGTTCCTTATCATTGTTTTGGATGTTATGTATATATATATATATACATACATATACACACATATATATCTATATACGCATGTATGTAATAACATATGACACATGATGAGTAGAACGAACGTAATAATATAGAAATATAGTACAACTGCGGTATTGGTCAGATTGGGTTTCTTTTCACCCCCCCCCCCCACAGTACAAAGGCGCAGCCCCTTGGCGTGGCGAGGTGTGGATGTAACATGTTATTGACGCCACTACAAACAGCTTTTCAATGAAATGTACCGTCATAGTTCGATAGTAAGACCCTAAACCCCGAAACCCTAAACCCCTAAACCGCACCTCCAGTTTGTGTCACGCCGACCTGCACCTATAAAACCTGGCCTGGCTTGCCCGAGTTGTGAGAGCGTAAACCCCTAAACCCGAAACCCCTAAGCCCTAAATCCCTAAATAGAGACTTGCACCCAGGCCGAAGTTCGCGCTGTGCCCTGGTGGGAAGTTAGTCGAAGACCGCCTGTACGGCTGCATGGGTCATCATCCTGATTGTCTTGCCTTGCTAGAGGGATGCCAGGGGCTATACTATACAATGAAAATTCCAGAGGTAGTGCTGCATCCTCCTGCAACTGAGGAAACCCCCCACCAATGTGGATCCAGCACAGGCCAGGAGTTGCCTTTCTCAGATGTAGTAGCGCCGTGACTTGCGAAGACTTGGGTAGCGGAGTTGCAGAGCATGGCGGAGATAAAGACTGCTAGGAACCCCATTACAAGATCCCTTAGTTTAAACTTTAAACTTGACTGCGAACAGTAGAAGCCTCATAATTCTAAGGAGCTCCTCTTTTATTCTTGCCCCTTCGGTGTCGAGGCCCAAGAACGGCCTGGTTTCAACGAGGCTGAAACCTGGCTGGGTATACCTAGCTATGAGTGTTTGCAATTTGCCAGATGCATGCATGCCTGTTGTGTTTGTCGTTTGCTGCGCCCGGCTGTTGCTGCTTGCTTGAGTGCATGTGCACGTTTGTATGTATGCATGCATGCATGCATGCACCATGAAATTGCGACATAAGGCATGCATGCATGATGCATACATGTCTGCATGTGCATGCAGGAACATGTATGTATGCATCTATGGCCTATGTGAGCATTGATCTAAAGGTCCTTGCCTTCGGACTTATACAAACGGTTTTTCGATGTAAAACAATGTGTCCGCGAAAGATCCGTGATGGGTCCGCGAAAGGAAAGCAAGAATCCGCGAAAGTTTTCGCATAACAGATTTGAGATGCATGAGACCCACAAAGAACATGCCATCATGCTGTGGGTGTGCCCTTTTCTGCCTAGTGCCACAGAACACCGAAAGCCAGGGTTTGAGGCTTGGAAACCATGGACTTGTTTGGGCACTTGCTGCCTCAGCGATTCTGCGGCCAGGAACAGGCCAAGCCAAACTTGTGAGCAGGTCTTGCCTTCAGCAACGAGTGTTGTAAAACCAGCCTCAGCGTCAGAGTGTGGGAGTTTTCGGGAAATCGTTGTACGCTTTCCGCGAGAGATCCCCGAAAGATCTGTGAAAGACGCCGCGAAAGACGGTCCAGCTTGTGCAAGGCCATGGCTCGACCGCAACAGCAACCACTATCCTTCTGTAACATTTCGCAGACCTACTACTACTACTACTACTACTACCACCACGACTACTACTACTACTGCTGCTGCTACTACTACTACTACTACTACTACCCGCACTTCCCTCTGGCGCTACCACTGCCATTACGACTATTGCGACTACCACCACCACCACCACGAGGACAGCAACAACTACTGTTCTTGCCAGTATATGCCAGTATTCTTTCCTTCTCAAACTACCAGTACTAAGGTTTATAAGACAACGATGACGACGACTACTACAGCTACAGTTACTACTATTGTTACTAATATTTGTATTGCCACGTCTACTGCAACTGTTACTGACACTACCACTACCACTGCCACTGCCACTCCGACGACGACCACCATTACTTCTGCTGCTATTGCTACGGCTATTATTATTGCTACCGCCACCAACAACATGTCGCGCAAAAGTTAGGGCGAAAGTCCCGCAAAAGGAAAGCAAAAGCCGCGAAGGAACCATTTCCGCAAGAAGGAATATTGATCAACATGTATGTATGCATGCATGCATGCATGCATGCATGCATGCATGCATGCATGCATGCATGCATGTATGTATGTATGTGTGTATATGTATGTATGCATGCATGCATGCATGGATGGATGTATGTATGTATGTATGTATGTATGTATTGTGCCTATGTAACTTAACGCAACATAAAGCAAGGTACCGCACGTTAGGATCGGGTACTTCGACATGTCGTGGTATGTATGCATGACTGCACATAGACTGCTACGGGCATGGGGAACACTGCAGACTGAAAGGCGCAGGTGGATCTATGAAGGCTTCTCCCCCTGATGTATGGTTCTTCATGCATATGTAGAGCAGCGTTGTCGATTCGCTAGACGGGGACTTCATATTGTGTATGTTGGAACCTGCACAATATTAATGTAGACAGGAGGCCCTTCTGTTCTAAGTTGTCCGGTAGTAGCTGGAGTGCATCACTTATGCAGGCTCGGGTCCTGAAGGAAGAGGTCAGAGAACTATTCTGCTTTGAACACCTACAGCTACAGGCTACAGCCGTAATTGATCTCAACGAAGAAGGCATGCGTGCAAGTGCCCACATTAGATAGTGGCCTGCACTCGCACGAAGAGGTTCGGAAGAAGAAGAGGGCACAACAGAACGGGTTGACTTTTCGCATCTAATCTAAGGCGAAGCCAACGACGGCGAGCTTTACAGGTTCACCGTGGGAGACCATGCCAACGTGCTCCCGCGAATTCTAGGGCGGAAAGGCACAAATCGATTGTGCTTGTGCAACGAAAGTAGCCGACATAAATGTCCCGAGTGCATCTCAGACTTGTGCCATCTTCTGCCTCAACACCGAGGGGGATAAATTACATAACTATCTATTTATCTGCCTGTGTATCTGTCTATCTATCTATATATATATACATTGATTATCTATATTATACAGTACACACACACATTATGTAGTTTCAAATATAGACTCTAGCTTATGCAGTAGGTCTTGTGCTTCAGAGCAGCGTGCCGGAGGTATCGGCCTCGACTGAACACCGTCGTCCATCGTGTGAAGGCTCCCTGGGAGGACGTTGAGTAAGATGCCCTTTAGGATCCTGCTGTTGATGAGGGTTAGGGTTTAGGGATATAAATCCTGAATTACCTGAAGGACTCTAAACTATGGGAATTAAGGCATATTCCTTATTTTGGGTAATGCAGGATTTATATCATCAACCGTATCGGGGTATGGGGCCGTTTGGGGTTATGCAATCGCATGATAGCAGCAGTCCGTGATGTAGTCACACCGGGCCAGAAACAACGCGAAGTTGCACTAACTTTCCTGGCCACGCTGCTTCGGCTGGTTTTCGTGGTAGGCTGGCATCGCACACCTCCTGAGGTCTACAACCTCATGAAGAGCGTCAAGTCTCGAGATGTTCAGCGTTTCGGCGTTGTAATCATGGCCTGGACTCCTCACGGCACAGTCACGGCTCCCTGGCTCGCCCTTGTAAGGTACATCTTTGAGAAGCACGTCGGCCCGATTGAGAAGTGTGTGTTGACTGAAACTTGGCTCCAACTAACCGCTCCACATGCAACAGACTCCGATGTCTTGGCCTCGGAGGACTGCGTGGCTGCAATCCAATTCACGATGCCGGATCACGCAAGAACGGCGGTGGAACGCTACGACGGAGGTATTCTGGAGATAAGCACCCCGGCTGTCAATCCGGGCCAAAGGCACTTTACAGCCCTATTCGCACTTTTCCTGTCCATCTCACGTGCCTTGTGATGCCCAGCTGGGAGTAGGGCTATACATAATATTGCACTCGCCGTCGTCGAATTTGCCTCAATCCCCGCTTCTGAACTCACTCAGGCACAGACAAGAAGAGGAGCGACGATACCTTGATCTCGCTCGCAGCACCTCGTCCGAAGTCTGAACCCCTGAACCGGCAAAGCCCCATATGTCCACGCAGTTTACGGTTTCACTCATCAGACCTCAGAGTCCAAGTGCGAGAGGGAGAACAATGAAGATATTTGGGTAATTTTCTAAATTAGGTTCCTTTTTCGGGTCCTTTTTATCAGGGTGCCGTACAAAATTGGGGACCTAAAAGGGACCCTAATTTAGAGAACCACCCATCTGACACATTTTTCTGCTAAGCTCACCGAGGCCTCCCCCTGGGCCCACGATGGACTTGCCCTTAGATCAAAACTCGAAGAGCCCATGCCTCAGCCGGTCTTTTTTGGGGATTACATGGATTTAGTAAAGTATGTAGACGGACTCTTCCTGTTACCGCTTCGCTTTTGGATGTTGGAGCTTTGCCGTGTAGTTCGGCGCTTGGCAATCCCGTGCTCCAAACCCTAAATATACAGGCCCTACAATCCCTAAACTTTCAACCCTACATGTACCCCATAAGCCCTTAATCCAGCAAGCTCTGAACCCGCAGTGTCAAGCCAAGCTTTGTGCACCCTAAACCCCAAAACCCTAAACCCTAAACAGTCGCGCTTGTGGGCTTTGATCCTTAGCTATGCGCGAGGGAAAAAAAACAGTCGAAACCCCTCTCAGCATAGATCCTCAGCCATGCGAGAGGGAAAAACCCCTACTCAGGACACTGTGGCCTCTGTCGGACTGTCAGCTGAGGCCTGGTCCTGGCCCTAATCAAACTTTAGGGGTTCTAATGACTAGACCAGTATTGCTTTCAGGGTCGTTTCAAAGGGGTTTTTGTAAGGGTTGCTATCAGGGTTTAGTGTAGGGGCCTCGATAGCTATACTGGACCAATTTTTCGATGCAATGTAAGTAAAGCTGGAGGCCTACTGCATGGCCTGCTGTCCGAAATGTGTTCGTTTTGGGGTCCGGATCATCTCAGAAGAGCGCTTAACACCCTGCCACGATGTCCCCATGCAGGCGGGGCGACGGGTGGCTCACAATGTTCCGCGTGAGCACCGCGAAGGTGGGGTTGCGGGGGATGATGCGAGAGAATAACGGAACCTGACATAGACTTAAACATGTCTCACAAGCAAATCTCACTTGCAGCTTATATCTATCTATACTCCAGAACATAGACTAAAATTTCTTAGAGTAGGCACATCTCACTTACAACTTGTATCTACTCCCGTACCCTCGGGGTCTCAAGGACCCAATAATCAGGTACATGCGTTTAGGATCGTAATTATGTAGGATATCATTTTGGATAGTATATGATGACTGGGTGCCTAAACCCTTACAGGTTGTCAGACGCTCAGCCATGCAGGAGGCAAAAACAACCCTTAGCGGTACCCGAAACTCTAAACCCGAATCATTGAATCCCTAGACCCACATCGCCTGGCTTGTCCGAGTTGTGCGCCCTAATCCTTAAACCCTAGAAGCCCTAATCCCTAAACTCTAAGTGGAGCCTGTTGCAGAGTCAGCATGTCCGGGGCAAGGAGCTGTCTCACGGGGATGGGAGAGATCGCAAGGGGTCCTGAGAATGTGGATGGGGCAGGCAACTTCTGAGGGGCGGGTGCAGAGCCTTCTGCAAGGCCGATTTCCGAAGTTAAAGATCAAGCAGGCGGAAAATGGCCCTCAAAAAAAACCTAAACCCTAATCCCTAGCAAACCAAACATGCAGACGGACCGGATGCTGGAAAGGAAGGAAGTGCAATGGCATGAGTTTAGGCTTGGCAGCCTTATGCGGCGTGGGGCTCTATAGACATGCTTTCGCAGCTCGTATCGATAGTACGATGCACTCGACTCAACCCTGTCGCAAGACGCTATCGCCTAGTGTAAGCGCTATTCCGCGGCAAGCCCTAAACCCTAATCCCAGAGCCCATAAAGTGACTGCACTCTGTCGAACCAGGAAGCTCGCAAGAGCGACCAGGGTGAGAGCCACCAGGCACGGGTGTTTTTGTTTTCTTTGGTTCTTTTCTGCAAAAATATTATAGCATATGACATGATATGATATCAGTATAGTATATTATAATACCCGGGTATTATAGTAAGTGAAATGATCTGATCTTTTTTGATATTGTAGTACAGTAATTAATCATAGTCTAACATAGTATGTCGCAAAATGATATAGTATCATAAGATACTGCATCGGGACGCAGATTTTTTGTTTTAGTTTTTTTGGCCGGAGAGGTCGATTTCAAGGGCAGCATCATTACCGCAGCTTGGCTGGGAACAGAAGACGTGAAGGTTTTGTCGTGTAGTCGCCCTCGCACTTCGTGCAAGCACCGGCTTGAACAGAAATCATTGCAGAGGTTTCGCTGCTTTACTATCCTTCTGACCTGATGCAACAAGGTAGACCAGGTAGAGCAGCCGTGGAGATAGACTGACCCGACACCGACCCTGCACTGTAGCTGTGAACCTAGTTTGTTTGTTTCGCCCGAAGTTGTTGCCTGGTGATGCCGAGTTGCGAGTGGCACACCGACCTACACTAGTTCGTACCAAATTTTGGTGCCTGCTGCATTTCCAACTGTGGGTCCTTCGATCTTTGACCAGTCCTGGCACATAAGTTATTGCATCTGCAGGCCACAATGTGAGGGAAACGAATTGAATGTACATACCGTAGCTTCTCTCGAGGTGCCTCTTATACGACCCTTTGCGGCCTTAGGTTTCGCTGTCCTTTTGCTGCACACTAGGCCGCCCATAGTTGGTTTCCGTGGTTTCTTGGGTTAGCTCGATGGGAAGTTATTGCAGAGGATAGTGAGAATAACAGCAAATAATCACCATCACCAAAATACTAATCATAATACTTGTAATAGTAAACGTCAAGGTAGTAGTAATCTTGTCAAAGGTTACTCCTACCTTGACTTCCTTAATGGCGGTAATTAGTAACTGCGCATTTCAAACATCATCCCGGCTCAGGGGGCTGGCTGCGGCTACCGTTGCTGAGACACTTCCCCTACACGTTTACAGTTATGACTACCAGTATTTCTCCAACTAATGCTATCACTACTGCTTTTCCTACTACCATTTAATTAATGCATAGTGCTATGAAGGCAAGACCTACCTTGCATGTGTCCAGCCCCGGTTCCAGACTCCGCGAGGTGACTTTGGATACAGATCAAGGACTCGAGCAGGAGGGGATCGTCATCAATGGAAGCCCTATGGCCCCTCGTCTTAGGGTTTAGGGTTTCTGCTAGGGCTGCTTGCTCCAACTCCGGGTGAAGTGGAAAGCCTGTTGCAAAAGGGATAGATTTGGGGCTCCTTGGCAACTTGGATTCCCCATCATCAGCAGAGTATACCAAAACACCCCAAGTCAAAATTTTAAGGTCTGCAGTGCATAGGACGGTGACTCTCGGTTTTGCTTTGCTCTGGATTGCCAAGCGCTTACTGCTGCCAGTACGTAGTCTCAAACATCCGATCAACTGAGGATTTGTAAGCTGCTGCGCAGGAGGACGCTCCATGTTTCCTATACTAAACCCGTATAGTAGCCCTATAGCCCTTTATAGAACTCTAAAAAGGAACCCTTGAAGGAACCCTGTTCTGATTCTTAACGCCCGTACCCCCGTAGCAACATGTGTGGAACCCTTTCCATGGAGAGGAACTTTAATACGATCTGTAAAGTCCCCTATTGTAGAGCCCTTGATAAGGAACCCTTAAAGGAATCCTATTCTAATTCTTGAGAGCCCTTCGTTAATACCGTTATATTATAGTAGAACCCTTCGTAGCACCCTTTAAATTTAAAAGCCCTTCAGAGACTTGCTAAGACCCCCCTTTGAAGCCGACTGCATTGTTGCCTGCTCGAGGTTGCAAGTCGTTGCGTCGTTGTCACATGCGAGTGTCAGAAATGTAGGGACCCTGATTAAGCCTGAAGATGAAACCTTAAATCCGAGGTCCTTATTAATGTAGGAACCTGATGAAGAAAATTTTGTTACCCAACCCAAAATAGTAGGACCTAGGATACATATTAAGACTATTAAGCAGTTTAATCTCGACCCAGGGTTTCTTAATCCGGTTCCTGCGTTACATACAACGAACTACCAACCAAGGCACCACAAATTTTCACGGAACCCTCGCAAGGAGCTGGAGCTGCACTGCGCTGCCTATGATCGGCTCCCCTCCGCTTTCTTTGACCCTCCATGTGCTGCCCGAACTTGAGGTATAAGTCTCCCGCAACCAGATGGGAACCGATGCCGAGATCTTGCCGCAACCGATGATCACGACCTGCATATGCTAATCTCCTCTTGGCTTCTCTAGTACTTCGCCCGAGCCGCGCGACCCAACATAGATTTTATGCTCTGCCCGTACATAGCGAATTCTCTGTTATATTCTGCTCACTCTCGGCACAGACGGCACAGACGTCGACGTCCCGTAGGCTTCGCAGGGGCTGGCTTGCCTGGGGGTTCGAAAACGAAAGTTTGTCGAGTACTTGCACTGTCTGCTAGCAGCTGAAGAGCCCAAGCCAATCCATGAGCGAACTTCACCGCGCCTCGAAGATACAAACAGTCGGATACTGTTGCAATGTCCTTGGACCCGAGCCTGGCAGAAACTGATGCACTACAGAGTAAAGGTTTTTGGGTTTAGGGTTTAGGGTACCATTTCTTGCCTGTGGATGCACGAGTCATCGATGAGGCGGGCAGCTTGGAATACACTTCAGAGAGACCTCGTTCAAAAAAGGGTACAGTGAATCACCCCTAGACCCTAAACCCTCTATCGGGCCGGTCCGGCACAGAGGCTTCGGTTCAGGTGTTGAATTATCGCGCCGAAAGCTACAGCGACTTTCTGCAGCGATGCGTCTGCCCTTGGCATCTTGTTGGCTATGCCAATTGTGAGGCATCGCGTGTGCGAGAGGGACGGCTCAAACTTAAATGGGAAGAAGCCGAAGCACAGCACCAGGACAATGACTTCCATCCCTTTCATGCCATGCTGCAGCAGAACTGCCTCAAGAATAGGTTTCATCGCATGCCGCGCGCGAAACAAAACAAGCAGCCCCCTGCAGAAGTAGCAAGTGCAACCGATCGTTTCTGTCAGGAGTAATATACTATACTTTTCTATAGTATATAGTATAGTATAGTATACTATACTATACTATACTTTTAGTATAGTATAGTATAGTATAGTATAGTATAGTATAGTATAAGGAGTCAGGAGCAGTGGGCTGTGACTGTGCCTCAGTGCCTCCTTCGGTTTCGTTTCACAGGTGGCTGAGGGCAGCGGGCTCTTTCCATCCTGTCTCGACACGCTGACGTGTTTTATATCAATCCGGTTAACTGTCAGTTGTTGTCATATTATGTTTGTGCAACTTCTGCTGCGAATTTGCTCGCCCTCAGCAATACCCGCGGTGCAACAGGCGACAGTCTCCACTCTCAATAAGAGTCTTTGTCCGGCTGTAATAGTCAAAAGGTGCCGGCTGGCGTGACTCAGATTCGTGCCGGCTTTCAGGCTGTGTGGATTAACCAGCCCTAGCCGTCCAGGTGCCTACTATATAGGGTACTAGAGCCCTTACGCCCTATATAGTAAGTACCTGGAGGGTTAGGGTAAGACTAGGGACAGCATGGACTGTCATGGGGAATCTTGCAGAGCGCCAGGCTCAGCATGACGTTTCTGTGCGCCAGCCAGAGCCAACTACAAAACCCCTAAACCCTCAACCCTGTCCTTGCTAAGTGGGAGGGAAA